TTATAATCAGAACAGACAGATCCACCCATTAGAACAGAAATCAATCATCGATCATAATGAAAAGCCACCACAAATACTTTTCAGGTCTAGAGATGCCTTTAGGCTAAACATTAGGCTTCTAGGTAATTTTCCAAGTTTCAAAGTATGAGTTTTAAGAAAGCCAGGGCTGTCTACACTATGTAATTTATGCACTTATTCATCTCCATAATAGGAGATAACTGATCTGTGAAGAAATAATAGTGTCATGTTTTAATAGTCAAAAATCTTACCTTTAATGAAGATGTTTGCTAATAAAATTAATAATTGTATTATTGTAAAATCTTATGAATATTTATTTAGCATTCTATAATTTAGGGAGCACTTCCATATCTGCAGTCTCTCTGAATTCACACTGGAGTCCTAAAAGGTAGACAGGCTTAGAAAGGTTAAGTAATTTGTCCAAAGCCACATGAGTAGTCATGATGTGACAAGAATTGTTTTTAAAAGATGTGAAATCCACACATAAGTCTCAATTAATGTTATTCACTTTTATTAAACACAGGGTTTACCATTAAAAAAAAGATGTGAAATCATGAAAAGAAACTCTCAATTTTCTCATAAACATGTCAAATGGCTTCACAACAACATAGGGAGGTTTAAAATTATACTGAAAAATAAATACTATTTTTTTCCAAAGGAAATAAGCAAAATAAGGTAAATTCTGATATTTTTATGTTTGTGCTTATGAAAATAAATAAAACAGCACATATTTGTTGGTCCCACAAGATAATTGATATTAATTTTGCTAAAAATATATTTATTTCTGCCCATTGTCCAAGTCTTGACTTTTAAATACTATTCTCCAATATAATGAATCTGGAGTCCTCAGAGAAATGACTCATTCTCCGGCAGGTGCAAGAAACATAAAGGTGGATCCAGATGGTTTTGCATTGTCGGAAAATAAATAACTATCAAAACAAACAAAAACAAAAAAACAGAAACAAAAGAATGTGTGTGCTAAAAGGATAGGTGCCAACCTGAAAGAGTTACCCATTGTGAAATCTGGAATAATTTGAGGAACAAAATAAATAATGTAGCATTGAATTATAACCTAAAATATAAAATAAATATTCATGAGTTTATAGTGTTATATTTGAATGGTTGATAAACCAAGGCAAAGATACAAATTGTCCTTACAGAAAATTTCCAAATAATATATGTTTGATTGGGCTAGATGCAGTGACTTTTTTCTAAGGAAAAGTGTATGAAAAGGATAAAACAGTAACTCACTAGTGAAGAAACATGGCAAACACCACCTTAATCAAGTGATCAAGGTTAACATCATTAGAGATATTGTGATCATTATACCTTGTAATCCTGATATGATTTGATGGGAAGGAAATTTTACCTTTGATGCAATCTTTCCAAAAAACTATATTCTCAATCTAATCATGATAAAAGCATAAGATGAACCCAAATTGAATGACATATTATGAAATATCTGATCAATACCTCTCAAGGCTTCAAGATCATGAAAAACTGCAAAACTGTCAGACCAGAGGAGCCTAAGTAGTTAATAAGTAACTGTAATGTGGGATCCTGGATTGAATACTGGAACATAGATCTGATTTTAATGGAAAAGCTGTTGAGATAAGGATAAAGTCTGAAGTTTCTTTGATAGTAATATGGGAATGTTTGTTTCTTAGTTTTGAAAATATATCATCACAAAATGTAGCATGGCAAAATCAAATACAATAGGGGCAACTGAAACCTGCTGTGTGAGAACTCTCTGTACTATATTCCTACTCTTCTGCAAATCTAAATCTTCCAAAATAAAAATTTACTAAAACAATTAGTTTCAAAGAATGTCCTTGTGTATGGGCAAATCATTGTATTTGACCGTCTATATGTTTGTGCATGAATGTCAATCAGTAGAGTTTAGCATATTATCCACAATTCTGAGCAATAGTGACAACAGTTTTTACTTTAATGTTTCCATTATACTTTGGCTATTTTTTGATGTGTTCATAAACCCACATCCTATATGTATATATTGTAATAATTCACATGATCTTCACTTTTATGTTTATGTTCATAAATATAAAATTCAGTGCTTTAATTGACAACTTGTTTGAGCATTAAAGACACTTCTATCTAGGGATATGAGCCAACAGGAAGTCAGAATGTATACATAGTTGCTTCTATTTCTTAAAGTTATTAGGAACCATTGTTTCAATAGCTCTATCCCAGAGGCTGTAGTGCTCAATGTTACTTCTGCTGGGAGCAGCACAGGATAGGTCAGGTTGCTGTCTTTCAGCAGCAGTAAAGGAACATTAGATCCAAGGACTCAGATCTCTCTAGAGACTCCAGAGCTCACAGGTTTTTTTTTTTTTTTGGTCTCTGGTGATCATCAAATCGTAAAGTCACCAAAATGGCATATCTCTTGCTTGATGAAAAATAGCTTGGCATCATTTTTCTGTAGTGACATGAATAGAAAGAATAAGAAGATTTGTGAAAGCAGAAGTGGCTATTTAGTAAAATGAGAAATGTGCTTACTGCAAAGCTTTGCTGCTCAGCAAGTTCATTTTGGTGTTTCTTGCAGGGAAGAACAAGAACAAAGGTATTAAATTTCCAAATGTTGAACTTATTTATTTATCAATAACATCATCCACACATAGTTTTTATATCTCTACACTAATCTGGCCTGATAGGAAGAAGCTACCGATCTGTTTTTCATGTCTAAATAATTCCAGAATGACTCAATATTTTCTGTTTGTATTCCCAGATTTTCTCAGTCAATTCCCCTGTCTTTTAGGCTGTGTATATAAGATAGCAAGCCAACTAGTAAATTCAGAGAAAAAAATATTCATCAGCTTTATTATTGGGTGTTGTTTTGATAAAATGACTCTCTGATTGATGATGGTTCTTGTTCCAAATTATTGAGAAGCTGCATAGACACAGCCTTTTATTCTGCCAAAGAGCACTTTGGGGAATTTTTTTTTTAAATTGACTTGAATGATTTGCCAGTGTTGACAATGTTGAAAATTTGCTCATCATGTGAAGCTTCTAGATAATGATGGAAAAATTCACTCCAATCATCCTAATATTTAGAAACACCCTGACAATATATTGACTTTTTAACCTTATATTCAATAATTTTACATTGGTTGTATATTCATATATTCTTATATAAATGCTTAGACAAAATATAGCTGTGAAGTAAACTAATTTTTTAAGCCAGAATAATCAAACATTTTTAATATGTAGAAATTAAAGTAAAAATAAAATCCACCATCACGTATTAAATTCTTGTGACGTGATAAAAGCAATCACTATACCAGGAAAGGATAGTTATTCCTAATAGTTAGTCATCAGATCTAAATAGATTACTAACAAAAACATTAAGATTAGCAGCTTTTTATTTCTGATTTTATACACATATTTCTTCAGAAGATAATAAAATCAAAGATAGTAAGATTTATCTTCATTTACTTTTTAAGGAAAAGTAATTCTTTTGTGAAAAACATCTCTGAAGAAATATTAACTTATTTCCTGAGGATATGTGAGGCAGTTTTTATTATTGCTTTTTTCATTTCCTCCTCTTGGCTTATGGGCTCTAGAATCTGATACTTACCACTTACAGTCTTGAAATTTGAGACTGGAGAGATATTATTTCTTATCTACATTCCCTGAAGGTACTAACTGCTGAGTTTTGTGGGACAAAGCTTTACCAATGGGGTCTTCCACAGGGTGCTCTGTGGGAACTGCCTATTCTCCCTAATTTAGTGGAGCAACTGCAATAAAACTTTTGGGGATAGAAATGAAAGAGAAGAGACAGAATGGAAATTTCCTAGACTTTGCTAGTTGTAAAATATTTTAACCAGGACTTTTTTTTTCAGGGATATCTGGTTCTTGGGGTATAAATTCTCTGGTAGGAGTCTGTGGAAAATGTTTCTACAGTAGCAATGATTTGTGTTAACAGGGTCTGGAACAGAGGCAACAAAATGTTCTCTCTTTCTCACTCTCTCCTTTTTGTTTGTCCCAAGTGTAATCTTTGGTTAGAATTCTTGCTCCCAACTACACCCCACTGTTTGTTTTGAGAATGGGTTTAGTGAAAATCTAATGTTTTTGCTTGCCTGTTTTACTAATGAAGAGGCTTTTGTAGGATAATGTATTTGGGGAAGAAACTTAAAATATAAACTATTAGTTTCATGCCATAAGCAAGGCAAATTTCTTTATTATCTGCAGGTATTAATCTTTGCCATCTCAAAGTCCATAATGATTTTTGCCAGAAATTGTCCTCTGCAAATAAAAATGCATCATGCCAAAGACCTTGTACAGTCATGCCTGAGGAGCTCAAATGCAACTGTCTCAGTTCTGGCTCCTTGGGAATATGAGTAAGGGGTGAAACAAAGGATGATCCATTTTGTTAACCAAAGACTGAAAATATACTGAGTGTTTTGAAAAATACCAAATGCCATTAAAATTTCTGAGAATATACAATGGGAATTTATATACTCTTGTTTTCAAAGTAATGTACATTTTCTGCATGTATTTAGAAAATATAGAAAGGGAAAAAGAAGAAACCAGTAAAAATCTCCCAGAGATAATATTAACATTTTTGACCTTAATATTTTTTTAAAAAATGAAATTCTGTAGTAGTTTTTATATGTACATCTTTAAGACACCAGAAAAAAATATTTGGCTAACTTTTTATTTTTGAAGCAAATCAAATATTCTTGTTTGTTCCATTATTTCTGGGTTGTTACTATTTTGAGAAAGGTATCTTATTTGTTTCTTTAAAGGTGAATTTTTAGAGAAGAAACTATACTTAATTTTTCAAATACATTATTTCTTTGAAATTGGAATTTTGAATCTCTCCAATCATAATCAGAGCTGAGAAGACAGAAGTCTCTGATATTTATCTTCTTAGTAGAAGACAAATGATGGAGCAAATTAACAATTATTGAATGAAATACAAACACTGCCTAAATATTATTTATTTAAAATTATTGGTACCTGACTGAGCAGCGGGAGTGAGGGTTCAGAGATGGGCAGTGAGAAGGAGCAGAGTCCAGAACCACACCTGCCTGAGGAAGGGGAAGCGGGTAACCCTTGGAGAGTGGATGGCTCAGAGGGTTCTCACATCCCATCTGGGGAAAAGGATCATGGGCAGGAGAACCCACTGATGAGGCCACAAGGAACACAGTCAGAAGAGCCATGGCAGAAAATCGTTGCCCCAGCTGAAGGACCAGAGAATCCTATTGCTCCTCCGAAGCCTGAGGCAGAGGAGAAGCCCTTTATATGTGTTCAGTGTGGCAAAACCTTCACCAATACCTCTAACCTGAGAACACACCTACGGATCCACACTGGTGAGAAGCCTTACAAGTGTTCCGAATGTGGTGAGAGCTTTTCCCGAATCTCCAACCGCATCCGGCATGAACAGATCCACCTGGAAGAGAAGCACTACAAATGTCCCAAGTGTCAGGAGTGCTTTCGGCGGCGCTCAGACCTCACCACGCACCAGCAAGATCACCTGGGCAAGCGGCCGTACCGCTGCTGCGATATCTGTGGTAAGAGCTTCAGCCAGAGTGCCACACTGGCTGGGCATTATCGGACCCACCTGGAGCCAGCGCCCTACATCTGCTGTGAGTGTGGGAAGAGCTTCAGCAACAGCTCCAGCTTTGGAGTGCACCACCGCACCCACACTGGTGAGAGGCCATATGAATGTGCTGAATGCGGGCGGACCTTCAGTGATATCTCCAACTTTGGAGCACACCAGAGGACCCACAGAGGGGAGAAGCCCTACCGGTGCACTCTTTGTGGGAAGCATTTCTCCTGGAGCTCGAATCTTATTCGTCATCAGAAAACACACTTGGGTGAGCAGAATGGGAAAGATTCCAGCTGAAGGGAAGCAGCAGTTAAGAGTGGGAAGAGAGAGTGAGAGACCCATTCTAGTGGAGGAAGAAGACCTTTAGGATCTGCTGCTGCCACCTTGATTTCAAGTGCTTCATCCCTCTTTGGAGATTGGTTTCCTGTTGCCTCCGAAGCCAGGATCTCCAAGAAATCCTGATAAGGGACTCTGAATAAAAATCCTCCCAGGTAATTTCTTGCCATAGAAAGTCAGAGAACCCAGTCTTGGCTTCACCTTGTTGGATGTGAAAGAGAAGTAGGGTAGGCTCCAGACATGTTCATGTCATTGGGTTAGCAGTTCTCTGGCCTTTGAGGAAGCACCTGTGAGATGGCATCACTGTCTGAAGTACCTTCATATTGTCCATGAACTGTTTAGGGTACACTGCAGTGGGCTGCTAGGTTCCTACCTGCTGTACCCCAACTCAAGTCGTGCTTCTGGATCTGGAGGCTGGGAGGAGTGGCCCTTCTTGGAAGGGTCCTTCTTGGCCTGAGAAGAGGTTTGAGGTTCTGTCTTAGGAATGAAAGAGAAGCCCACTAGAATCGTCACACTCCCCCATATTTGTTACCTATTATCCCCACTTCACTCTCCATCTGTTTCCTTGTGATGATTAGCACTTAATGATTCAACGAAAAAGACCCATGGACTGACTTGAAGAGGTGGGGAGTGAGGGAGAGTGTCCCAGTGCAGCCATTCTGGAAGGGAACTGAATTCTAAGAAAGAAAGATGGGAGCTGAAATTGTGGCTCAGTGATAGAGCACTTGTCTCGCAAGTGTGAGGCCCTGAGTTTGATCCTAGCACCACCTAAAAACAAATAAAGACATTGAGTCCATATACAACTTTAAAAAAAAGGAAAAAGACAGATAGGTGGCTCTTCTAAAAAGCAAAGAAAAGGAGGCTGAGTCTTTTTAAGTGTTTGAGGAGAAGGGAGAAAGGAAAGGACTAACATCAATTGAGTATTCACTATATGCTATTGATTCTGCTGGTTACATCAACATTCTTCATTTCATTTAGTTGTCAGCAGTCCTCAAGGGTATAAGATGAGGAAACAGAAGCAAGGTATATAGTAGAGTCCATTTAAACTTGGGCCTCCTTGGCTCTCTACTGATGCTCTTTTTTTTTCACTGCATTCACATTGCTGACCTCTAAAGGAGGAGCCATGTCGTCGATAAACCTGGAGATGGGAGCCGGCGTGGCCTTGTGATATGGCTCTGGACTATTCACTGTGTGGGAAGTCAGTACTAAGAATGAGACCCTTTTTAACTTTAGATTACTGATTGAGGATTTCTTCTGTTGCTGGAAAAATGTCAGTGGAAGGAGTAGATGTTGAGGAATGGGATAAGATGAGAAAAATCTTAAGACCCATAGTAAGTTTGCCATTAATATCAATAATTTATCCCTAAGATTGGGAATACAGGGAATTATGTCTGGTTTTCTGGCCTTCTGGCTTAGATCTGGCTTCACATGGCCTCAGATGGTTTAGATTTGGCTTCACATGAAAGTTTAGTGTTCACCTAGCTTTCCTCTAACAAATACAAAATACCCCTATCTTGCTTTACCCCATGGTGCTGGAGATTGAACCCAGAGCCCAACCTAGCCAGGCAAGTGCTCTACCACTGAGCTATACTCCAGCCTCCAGATGTCTCTTTCTGTCTCTCTAGTCAGTTTGGGTCCCTGCCTTCCAGAGTAAGGGTTCCTCTCATTTGTAGCTAATGGCAGAATGTGAATCTGTTGAAACTGATACACCCATGACCTGACCTATCATGTGGGGTCCCTGCCACTTGTTCAGGGAGAGATATGCCAGGAACTTCACAGTCATCCTCTTACTAAATTTTCAACCACTGGAGAATTATGCACATTTAACAAATGTGGAAACAGGTGGATAGAAAGTTACTTCCCAAGATAAAAAAGCAAGTAATTGTCAGGGCCAGGAACTGAACCTTATTCTACCCAAAGCCTGTGATTTTTTTTTTTAAGCTGTAGAAAACTTCCCAAATTATTCCCTTACATTTGTAGGATGATTTACAGTTAGAAAACACTTTAATTTCATATTCATTTGTTTTTGGAAAATCTACACACAATATTTTAAACATAGTTACCTAAACTTAGACATGTAAATTGACACATGGCCTTAATAATAAAAGTCACCATCTATTAAAAAAATTATTCCATAAGTTTTAATAGTTTTTTAAAAATACCATTAAAAATCTGAGACTTAGCTGGCTGATCCAAGACATCAGCTTATTTACCAACAATATCTTGATAGAATTGACTCAAGACTTCTACTCCCTTTTCTCTTGGGACAGGTGAAAGGGAGGTGGGAGGATAGGCAAAGGGCAGTGAAGTCCAGCACTTTGGTCTAGTTATCATGAGGTTTCTCACTGACCACAGATTGAACATCTAATGCAGCCAACTCTCTCAAAAGACTTGTTTTTGGTCACAAAGGGAAATGAAGTGAGGGTGCATGAGTCACCGCACATTTTTTAAAGTTACAAGCAAAACAATTTTCCTAAGGGATGAGCAGTATTGTCATCTTCATCTTGGAAGAACATACCTTAAATAGTTGAAAGAGATGAAGAAACTATAAGAGATGATGCAGCATTTAAATTTAACCAAGTGTTCTAGCTGATTCCTCTCTTTTAGTTAGTACTATTGCAGCAAAGCAGCAGAAGTTCTGGAGTTTACTGGAAACATCTTGGGAAATCCAGCTGTCAAGGGCTGCTTGAAGCTTTTGTACCCAGAACACAGCTGCTAGCTGTCACCTTGAAGCAGTAGTTTCTACTGTGGAATTAGTTGAAAGAAGATATTGCTTTGAGACTAGGGCCAGAAAGTTCCCCTCAAAAAATGTGCAAAATTTGAGTCAAAGAGAAATAGAATTTATTGGAAATGCTTCATCAAAGTGCTTGGTGAACTACGCCAAGCTGCTCCCTTCGTTTCTCTGAACAAATAGCCCCGAGGGAAAGGTGGTCTTGTAGAGTTTAAGAAGGTATTTTTCTAATCAGGTTCAGAATATGCTGCTCACTGCAGTTAATGATTAGTAGCTTCCTATTAATAAGCTGATTATCTGCCTTAGTTTGTGGAATTATTTGTGCATTATTATTGTATATAACAACTACTAAAAAGTAATGAAATTGTCAGTGTCATGAATTGACTAGTAAAAAGTGGATTAGAAAAATGAAGATTGTTTATGTATAAAAGAAAATAATGTAACCAAAAGAAAATTGAGCTCAAAAGTGTCCTGTTCAAGAAAATGTGGAATGTTTCCTAAATTAGCAAAAAATACATGTTATTTTTCATTTTCCATTGACCTAGAAAAATGAAAGATACCATATCACAAGAAAGGAAAAATAACAGAATAGACTAAAACCCTTGGTAATATAAACATTTTTATATTAATACCACTAAATTCTTTAAAAGGGAGAAAAACAAAGCTGATTTTTCCATCCTATCACATAGGGTCTCCCAGACTATTGTTTATATTTTTGAAAAATTGAAAACTATTTTTCTAATATATTTAGTAAAATTATGCTTAAATTTAATAATGAGGATGCATCTTTTTCCCCAACAAGACAGCTGTTAGCTATTACAATAATTGACTTTGAACTTCAGTCTTTAAAACATGTGCAAGTATTTATATATCTGCAACTTGAGAAAAATGTTTTCCTAACACTATTTAACAAAAATTCTTAATCTCTCCTTTATTTTCATATTATTGTAACATTTCAAGTACTTCTTAACTGGTCAGCTTCTAATAATATTGACTGTGTCCAGCCATATCTGAGGTAGCTTAGTGGTTAGACGATTTAGTCAAAGCTGAACACTAAGCATTTACCTGTTTATTTTGAGGGGCACATTTTTTGTATAGTTTCAATTATTCACAAATAATTATGAAGTGTTATGTTACCAATTGAAATTTGGCTTTTTATATGAAGCAAATTCTTTAAATTTCATAATAATCTTAATTTGACTAGAATGTCAACAGAAATCATCCATTAGAATTGTTCTTTGTATCATGTGTGGTTTATAGTTTATTATTTTACACTTTCTTTCTTTTACTGGGGATTGAACAACTTAGGGGCACTTGACCACTGAGCAGCATCTCCACAGCTAGTCCCTGTTTTGAATTTTACTTAGATACAGAGTCTCACTGAGTTGCTTAGCACCTTGCTTTTGCTGAGGCTGGCTTTGAACTCGTGATCCTCCTGTCTCAGCCTCCCACCCACTGGGATTACAGGCATGTGCCACGGTGCCTAGCTATTTCACTAATTTCTTAAGCATTCTAGTGTGTCTATGTGGAGTAAGACAGCATGGTAGGAGGCAGGCTCACAGAGGCAACAAGAAACAGTGCTTGTCCCTGATCAGTTAGAAATAAATCATAGTGATACTGCATGATATACAATAAGTATTTGTAGAGGGTGTCAGAAGAGGGGATATAGCAAGGTTTAGTGGAGTTTGGGTAAAGAAGTGAGAACACATTTCTGAGAGGAGGTGACATAGTCTGATATTTAAAGGTTGAGTACAACTACTTGTCTTGTGGTTAAAGGTCAAACAAGTTAATCTTTCTTTGATAGAAGAGGCATTTACACATGTGTTCTGATTAGATCTGGCTGCCCTTTCTTAGATTCTCCTATGGATTAGTCTTCTTACTAATCTTTGATCACACAATTGCAAAGTTGACAGTATTTTGTCCCTCACCTATCCCTGTACTTCTCCAGTGTGAGTGTATCTCTGGATTACAAGAATGAATTGTAAATACAGACTGCTGTTTCTCACTCCACAGTTTCTGATTCAGTAGGTCAGGAGTGGAGACCAACAATTGCAGGTTTAATAGGTCTTCAGATAATATGGATGGTACTGGCCTGTCTTAGTTTGGGTTGCTATCCCAAATGTCATAAACTTTTAGATGGCTTATACACGACCAAAATTGATTTATAATAGCTCTGGAAGTTGAGGCCTAAGATCAGGGTGCCAGCTGGATTGAGTTCTTGCTGAGTACCCACTTTCTAGCTTACAGATACCCATAATCTGCTGTTTCCTTACATGTTAATAAAAAGAACTGGTAAGTTCTCTGGCCTCCTCTTATTAGAATACTCATTGCATATGTGAGGCTCCACTCTCATGACCTAATTACCCCCAAATGCCCACATCCAAATACCATCAGACCATGATTAGGGTTTCAATATATGAATTTGGAGGGATACAAACATTTAGTACATAATATTGTTCATAGGCTGTATTTGATTATCAAAATCAGCTGGGAATTTATTTAAAACTATGGACTTATGGAGCTTATTCTTGAATATTCAAATTTAGTAGAACCTGAATGAGAACATTCTGTATTTTATATATCTCCCCAATTGATTCTGATTATCAGTGAGGTTTGGGATTAATTGATGTTGTCTAGTTCTCTTTTCACAAATAAAACTGAGATGTAGAAAAGTTAAGAGAATTCATAAAAAATATGCCACTCACAAGGAGAAAGGCAAGTTCTCTTTCCCATCTTTTACCTTCAGTAAACAATGATAATTCATTCTCTGCTGACTCGAATCAATTCTCTCATCCTAACATTTAAAAATCTTTTAAATTTCTTCTTGTACCCTCTTCAGTGTTGTACATAACTATGTCAACCACAGATCAATGAACATGAAAAAAATATCTACTATATAACATGGGGGATGGCTGGGTTCAGATGAGACTAAAATTCAGTCTGCTCTTTCAAGGAACTTCCAGATTTGAAGCAGATATCACATTCCCACACATGCAGAAACATACGTCCCCACACAATTGTAATAGGAGACAGATTTATACTAAGTGCTATTGAAACAGTACAAAATATCAGAGGAGCTTGAGCATGATGAAATAAATATTTATATGATCTATTTGCCAGACAAGGTGCTTAATTTTAGGGATGCAAAAACAGTATTGACATTTAATTTTCCAACTAAGGAAAGCATAACCTGCTATGCAATACACAACTGGCTATATGGTAACATCATCAAATCTATGAAAATGACATGAGCAAAATGCTAGCAAAGGATTGAAGTGGGAGTGATTGATTCAGCTGGAATGTGTGAAAATGGTGATTCATTTGTGGGGTTTGTTTACATTTGAATACTGTTTTTCCCTTTCCTCTCCTCTTGATTTGCCTGTATGTTGCCAATATGAGGAGGAGGCCGAGAAAAAACACAAAGATAAACCTGTAGGATGGACGTTTTCAGAAATAGGTAACAGACTCATATGGCTAGAACACATAGCATATGAAATCAGAATAGTATTCATGGATGTTAATGTGAACCGGGCTTTGTAGTATGCATAGATTGTGGTAAATAATATTCAATTTTTAGTATGTTATTGATTATAATAACTCTTTAAAATTCTTATTTCTTAACTAGAGAAGTTTTGTCTATTCTCCAGATTCAAACGAAGGCCCTTAAAAGTTCCTACATTAGTGTTTGTCACTTTTTCTGAGCATCAATTATCACTGATGTTTAAAAAAAATACAGAAGCCCTGTATACTCTTGGAAGGTTTTGATTTTGGAGATGTCTATTTCAAGAGGTGCAATGGTAGGATTTGTAACTGGTGGTGTTCTTGGCTTATTCAAGCCCCCCAAATACTGAGACCTAGGATATAAAATTGCTGAATTGAATGTTTATCTGCAATCTAAGTGCCTGAGGTCTCTTCATAAATTTTCTTTTCTTTATATGAGAAATATAGTTTCAGTGTATAATATACTTGCTCTGAGATCCTAATAGTTCAAATTAGAAAATAATTTCCTACAAAAACACTTCAGAGATAAGGAAACCCAATTTGTCTATTTATCCACTCAAGTTCATGCACATGCTTTGATCAAGAAATGCCATCTTGGGCTGGGATTGTGGCTCAGTTGCAGAGTGCATGCCTCACATGTGTGAGGCACTGGGTTCAATCCTCAGCACCACATAAAAATAAATAAATAAATAAATACACAAATAAAAATATTGGGAAAAAAAAAGAAATGTCATCTTAAGCACCAGAGGTGGAAAAACATGCTAAGATATAGTACTTGTTTAACTGTAACAAAACAAGACTTTCAAATGCATGCATGACTTTTCTGTCAATATTATCCTTACATAGCTTTAAGATGAATTTTAGCTCATCAATTAAAT